CCTCCCCAGAACAGACGTGGGACCTTGGGAAGGAAGACCGCAGGGCCAGTGGGGATGAGCCAGAGCAGCTGCCCATGGCTGCACCTGCTGGCCTTGTGTGCTGGCTGGCGCCTAGTGCAGCCGTACAGCCCCACCATCACCTGCAGGCCCGGAGATCTGCAGGGTGCACGTCCCTCTGTGATTCTGCATTCCTCTCTGGTTTCTGGCTGGCTGTGGGTGGCACATGCACCATAATTAGGCTTTGGAAAAGTGTCCATGGGTAGGAACTTCAAGTGACCTATCAGATACCAAGCTGTGTTCCTCAGAAGGGAGCCAGCAGGGCCCACCTGTCCAGGCTCACCCACAGATTGCAGGAGCCCCAAGGCCACTTCCACCCCATGGCTGCCCTTTCTTTAAGAGAACGCATTTTCCACACCAAAATCAATCCCAGAAGCTCTTAATGCAAATCTGGGGGGACTTCGGGGCAACGTGGGTAGGGGGCTTGGACAGCCTGTGTGTGAGCTAACCAGTGCAGTCCTCAGGATGGGCAGCTGTGAGAGGTGTGTGTGGCCAGAAGAAGGAGGGGCGGGCTTGCTCATGTAACAGCCAGACCGAAGGACCTGGGAGCCTTGGTGCTGATTTCCCCCTGCGGGGTTGTGATCAGCAAGGCTGTGCAGCTTCTCAGCCTTCCACACCAGGAGTGAGTTTTTTTTTTTTTTTTAAAGATTTTACTTATTTATTTGAGAGGCAGAGATATAGTCACTATGTTCCTAAATCTGTATATATGAAATACATGAAATTTGTATAACTTAAATAAAATTTTAAAAATACCTTGTCTCTTTTAACAGTTTTTCGTCTTAAAGTCTATTTTGTCTAATAGGAATAGAGCTACTTCTGTTTGCTTGTATTTTCCATTTGCGTGGAATATTCTTCCTATCCTTTTGCTTTCAGTCTGTATGTACTTTTATTTTTGAGGAGTGTTTTTTGTAGGAGGCATACATGGGTATTATTATTTTTATCCATTCAGCCAGTCTGATAAAAAGTCTATTATTTAGTAGATTTGCATTCAACCTCATTACTGATAAGTAATGATTTAGTCCTGGCATTTTTCCTTCTGTTCGTTTTGAATCTCCTTTGCTCTTTTACTAGATTAGATTTTCCTGCCTTCACATTCTTTCATGATTGTCTTTCTCAGTTTCTGTATGTACTACATCCTTAAGTATCATTTATAACAATGGCTACGTAGAACAACTTTTAAATTTTGTTTGTTTTTAAAAGTCTTTATTTTACCTTCATTTATGAGTGAGAGCTTCACTGGATAAAGTATTCTGGGTTGGTAATGTTTTTGTTTTAGGACTTAGACTGTATATCTCTTTCCTGGGCAGTAGTGTTTCTGTTGAGAAATCTTCTATCAGTCTGATAGGATTTCCTTTGAAGGTGGTCTGGCAATTCTTTCTTGCTCATTCTTGGTTATTTACTTTATGCTTTACTTTTGAAAATTTGACTAGCATCACTGTGTTTCTGAATCTGTATATACGAAATATATGTAATTTGTATGCCTTAAATAAAATTTTCAAAAAGAAAAAAAAAGAGATATAAAGAGAGGGAGAGAGAGAGAGAAAGGTCTTCTATCCGTTGGTTCACTTCCCAAATGGCCAAAGCCAGGAATTTCTTCTGGATCTCCCACATAGATGAGCCCTTGGGCCATCTTCCGCTACTCTCCCAGGTACATTAGCAGACAGCTGGATTGGAAGAGGAGCAGACAGGACTAGAGGTGCCCATGTGGGATGCTGGAGCTGCTGGCAGAGGCTTAGCCACTACGCCACAGTGCCGGCTCCGTGGAGTGAGCTTTTAACACGCAGCTCTCACCACAGGCCTGGAAGAAGAGGAATTGAGAGGGGACGAAGTCTCACCTGAGCTGGCGAGTCTTGGGCTCTGCCTCTCTACACCTGAGCCATCAGGCCGCTGTCGCTAAAGGAGGCATGGAGGTTCAAATCCCAGCTCCTCCTCCACGTGTGTGCTGTTCCGGTCACGTTCCTTAACCTCCCTGCTGTAGGTTTTTGCATTCCTGCTCCCTGCCCAGCCACGTCTCTTTCTCCACCTCCCTTTCCCGCTGACCCAAGGCCCAGCCATGGGGTGAATTTGGCCAACAGGACAACAAGGGACATCACAGCTGGGGTTTAAGAAGCACTTGGTTTCTGGGACAAGTCCTTGCCTGATGAACGTGGACCTCCTGGCCACCACGTGAACAAGCTGGAAGATGTAGCACAAGGCCCCGTCAACCCTGGTCACCTGTGCACACTCTGCACAGGTGCATGGGGCCAACCTGGCTGGACTGCAAGGCGTGCATCTGCTCACCCAGAGCCACCCTTCTGGATCAGAGTCCCGGGATGAGTCACCGCTTCCTGTTTTAAGCCACTGAAGCCTGGGGAGGTGGCCATGGAGTGAGCGACAACGGACTTCCCCCAGCCTCAGCTTCCTCACTGCCAAACGCAGCCAAGGCAGGCACTTCCCCACGACCGCGCCTGGAAGGCCTGTGGGAGCCGACACCTCATGGTCCCACCAGGGCACACCCCCAGACACCGCCAGCCGTCACCCACAGCACACCCTGCCTCTGTTACCGCCATCACCGACGCTTCCTCTAGATCCCTAAAACAGGCGTGTGACACGTGAGAAATGCAAGTTGCAGCATTTACAGCATGTGTCAGAGTAAATAAAAACACTGTCAGCAAGCAGGATTGCACCGTCCTCGCCACCGTCTCTGCAGTGACAGCGCTCAAGGCCGGCACGAGGGGCAGCCTTGTGTGGGGAGTCTGATCTGGGCTAATCTGGTCTGATCTGGTCTGTGGATGGGGCCTGCTCCCCGGGGTGCCTTCGCATCTCCTCCACAGCCCCAAGCGCCTGTGTCAGGAGCTGTGCATCACCCGCATGGGGCAGTAGCCCACACAGTCACTCAGAGAGGAGATGCTGGAGGAAGAGCCAACAACAAAGCCCTCTGGCTCGGGAATGAGCGACACAGTGCAGGGGCACACGGAGGAGCTGCCCACACTCAAGTCACTGAAAGATCTGGGAAGAGAAGTGAGCGGCTTTCTGCTCTGTTTTTGGTTGGAACTCTGCTCTCTGCCCCAGCCAGCTTTGAAAATGTTCAAGGCTGTGGCTTTCTGGAAAAGGCACCACAGTTGCACAGCACATGTCCACATCACTGTGCTGAGCTCCCTGGGCCTGAGGTCCCCCACACTCCCGACAAGAACCGAACTATGAGGAACGCCAGGTCAGGGGTAGAAAGAGAAAGGGAGAGGGGCAGGTGTTGTGGCTCAGTAGGTTAATCCTCCGCCTGTGGAACCAGCATCCCATATGGGCGCTGGTTTGATTCCTGGCTGCTCCTCTTCCAATCCAGCTCTCTGCTATGGCCTGGGAAAGCAGTAGAAGACAGCCTAGGCATTTGGGACCCTGCACGCACATGGGAGACCTGGAAGAAGCTCCTGGCTCCTGGCTTGAGATCAGTGCAGCTTCGGCCATTGCGGCCATTTGGGGAGTGAACCAACAGATAGAAGGTCTTTTTCTCTGTCTCTCCCTCTCATTGTATGTAACTCTACCTCTCAAATAAATAAATAAAATCCTGAGAGAGAGAGAGAGAGAGAGAGAGAGAGAGAGAGAGAGCAGCCTGGCACGGCATGGGGCCGGCCACAGGCCTGAGCGTGCCACAGACTGCCCACGCCAGAGACGCCACTGAGGCACGAGCAGGAGCAGGGTTCAGACTCGGCCTTCCTGACGCTGGATTGGGAATTCTTCCTGCTCCTCCATGCTAGGCAGAAAGGGAAACACAAAGTGCCCTGACCAAGCGGTCTAGGCGGTGTGGGGAGCAGCACAACCTGGAGCCAGGAGGGAGAGGGAGAGGGGGGATTTTACACACACACGCACACACACACACACACACTCAGGAAAGGCCTGTCCAGTCGCTGAGTTTAAGAAACAGAAGTCTAAAGCAGAGGACAGAGGACGACCTGATGGTGGTGACGAGCCTCAGGCTGGGGATCACCCTTTTGGCCTTAACGAAGCTGCTGGAGTCTCCCTCCTAAGGATTCACGCAAGAGCCAGTGGTAGGGCGCTGTTGCAGAAGCCAGGGGTTTGAGCGTGTGCGTCAGATGGGAGGGCCGGGCTTGTGTCGCCACGCACGTTTCTGTTGGTTGACTCAGGAGTATGTTAAGCACTTGTGAGAACTGTGCTCCGGGGCTGGGGAGCGGGAAGAGCTGCAGAGTGTGGAGCGTGGCGCAGTGCTGGCCAAGGCAGGGCAGTCGGGAGCTGCGTGCAGGGGTGGGCGAGGTTCAAGGATCCCAAGGGCACAGTTAGGGGCTGAGGGAAGGGTGTGGACTAGGAGCTGGATCACAGGAGAGGCCACTGGGATACAGAGGCTTTATCTTCCAGAGCTGCCCAGGGCCCCTGGGGGGCGACCGCCAGAACAGGCTGTGGCCCACCTCCCAGAACCTTGAGTGACAGCTGTTTGGTAGGTGCATAAGGGGGAAGCACTAGGGATTTGCTGAACACCCCAATGCTTCAAAAAGCCTGTGGGAAATTAGAGACATTGAGTTTCGCCCCAAGAAGAGCCAAAATTCATGCATACAGAAAACTCAAGGAATATATATAAAAAAAAAACTATGCATGGATTTCAAAATTTTTTGGCACCAAAATAAACTTTAAAAAAATGTTTTACTATCTAGTTATTCTGAAAACCAGAGAGAGAGAGAGATAGAGGCAGAGACAGATCTCCGATCTGCTGGTTCACTCCCCAAATGCCTACAACAAAAAGGACTGGAGTAGGCTGTAGCCAGGAGCCAGGAACCCCATCCAGGTCTTCCACATGAAAGGCAGGGAGCCAAGCACGTGTGCCATCACCACTGCTTCCCAGGGTGTGCGCTGGCAGGAAACTGAGCCTGAACCTGAACCCAGGCCCTCTGATAGGAGATGCACATGTCCCAGACAGCAGTTCAGCCACCAGGCCAAATGCCTGCTCCTAAACTTACCTTTTACTTCTATTTTCCCACAAACTTCCTGAGGCGCCCTGTTGTACGTTTCCAGAGTAAGTCCCTGGTATCTTCCAGGGGGATGTATGAATCCACGGCAGTGTCGATGCACAAAGAATTAAGTTTGTTGAGTATACATTTCTTCCATGTAGAATGAAAGTCATTTTGTTCGTTTGTTTGTTCCAGTTCATTTTGTGCTCAGAATCTAAGTCACTAGGAATTAGAGTGGCCAGAGGATAGAAAGTCGAATTTGAACTTCAGATAAACAGTGAATAATGTTTCAGTGACAATATGTCCCAAATAGTTTGTCTGGGAAACCAATTCAGAAGCAGCAGGGAGGAGCTAGCCATGTGAAGACTTCTAGAATTTCTATGGAATGCACTGGATTTCATGGAACAAGAGCAGCACACCAACAGACCCTCCCGGCCTGGGGGCAGTCTTCCTTCTTTTTTGATACCTGTCACCCTTACAGCTTCCAGAAGCTTCCCGTGTGAAGGAATCAAGTGCAGTTTCAGGGTGGTGAATATTTCTGTAACGGGAAGAAACAACAATTGAATAAACACGCCTAATAATGCTTGTGATTTGTCAGATACGTGTATATGGCATTTTCTTAACGGGGCTATACACAGAAAGAAAGCTTTGTGAACAGTGAGGCTGTGAAATCCTGACAGAGGTTCCCGGAAGAGACTGGAAAATCCTGATCACGCCTGTCTGGAAGCTAAGGCAGAGACGGGCGGGCAGGCAGCCTCTGGGTGTCCCCTGCCCTGTTCTTCCAGGGACGAGCTGGAGCTGGGTGCTTCCTAACTCAGGATCATTAGGGTGAGGGTGGGATGAGATGGAAGACTTAGGACCGGAGAATTAATTTTATCTTGCTCCTGAGTTAAGCGGCTCTTTTCCCAAAGCCGAGAATCTTTAGAGAATGAAATGCATCAAGTGGAAGTGGCTCAGTAAGCACCGCTGACCCTGAGAATTCTGACCATTTTGAGGCACATTTAGCAGTGGCCTCAATTGAGTAGAAGGGATTCCATGTGACACGGTGCCCCAGAACAAAGCTGAAGTCACACCAGTGGAACGCTATTCCCCGAGGGGAGCACAAGGCACTCTCTCCCCTCTCTCCCATTCGCTCACGATGAATAGGACAGTACTTGAATTGTGGACTGCAGACTTTTTTTACATTTAAGTGTTTCAGCTGATGCACTAAGTAGTATCCAGCTGCAGAGACCTGGATTGGACAGCAACGCTTGCTTATTAAAATGCAATCCATAAACAATCCGAGCCCTGTGGATGCCTGCGACAGGAAATCCGGTGAAATTAAAGTTTTTCATGAGATTCCATGTGCTTTTCCAGTAAATAACCTCATTGCCCAGTCTCACATACAAAGTGATTCTGCATATGTATGTGATCCTAGAAGAACACTTTTAAAGTAGAAAAACCATTATCATAATAATATTTATAGTATACTTCCCTTTTCAAATACTCTGATTTCATGAGAAGGGCTTGTTCATATAGTACCTGTATGAGACAAATTTACCTTTTTTCTTTATAGATTCAAGACCTCATTTGCCTGTAAATCTAAAATATCAAAAATGTTTCCATCTTACTTTCAGAAACTGCAAATTAATAAAAGAAAATCTGTCCATAAAAAACAAAGAGGAACCATCTTTATAAAATATAGATGAACCTAGGTTTAAGCAAAAATACTGACAAAATTAACACACACATACACACAACTGAATTATAAAACTCAAATTAATAACCAAAAAGCTACTGGTTGCCCAAGTGCAAAGCTCTGTATGCCTCAGCACAAAAAAAAAAAAAAAAAACCACTAGAAAACATTGATAGGAATCAGCTTGAAGTATTGTACACTGTGGTAAAATTAAAGCAAAGTAGTTAAAGTAAAATGTTCTTTGAAACAGAACTCTTAGATAAAGTGTGTGGTGGGGCAGGCATTTGGCACTGTTACTAAACCGGTGCTTGGGCTGCCAGAGTCACACATCAGAGTGCCTGGTTCAAGCTGGCTCCTCTGCTTGCAACCCGGCTTCCTGCTCACACACTCCCTGGAGGGCAGCAGGTGATGGCTCGGTGCTCGGGTCCCTGCCAGCCATGTGAAGACCCCCTGGAGCCCTGGGCTCTCAGACCTAAAGAAGAGATTCCCAGGAAACACTGGAGGATTTGAGTAAGCAGTGTTCCCCTTTCTTACCCAGAGGCTCAAAAGGATAGGAAGAGCTATGGAAAAAGCAATTTGAGATTACAGTGACTCACGTTGTCAGTCCAAAGCATCCCGTCTGTTTTTTCGCTGTTAGATTCCTTGTCTCCCAGCGACTGGGAGGGACCTTGCGGTCCCAGTGGAAATCCGGGTGCCCAGAACCTCCAGCAGGGGGCTCTGTCCCCCAGCGCTGACTGGGAAGGACTTAAAGACAGTTCAAGGTTAAGATGGCTCTACAAATAACAAGCCAGAAATGTCATCTGGCCCATGAGGACACAGCTTTATAAAACCGTAATCATGGTCCAAGAATGTTGTCATGAGAAAAATCTGTGCTCGGGATTTTATTATTAGGCTTTCAAATATAGCTGAGAGCTCAAAGGTGGAGGGGAATATAGTAGAGACCAAAAGGTACTTTCAAAAACTAATTGTCAACCAGTCAGGCTCATATTGAAAATATTACAACGATTTAAAAGTTTCCCAACATGGCTGACAACTCAAGTACGTCCATGCTCTGTTTAAAGCCACGCAGAAAAATGAAAGTGTGAAAGTAAAGTTGAACCGCCTGGAAATAAATTGCCACTGAGATGAGTCAGGAGAGGCAACTTAAAAAAAAATCCCACAGATGAGGGAAGGACGTTATCTCTCAGCAGCTGCATTTTGGTGAAGCTCACACTCGTGTTTCTGCATGATTTCTTGTTAAACCCCTCTCCCTTATTATCCAAGTCGCACCCACACACACACACCCCCCACCACTACCCCACACACAAGGAACCAAACCAAAGCAGAAAAAGCGTTTTTAAGTACGTATTAGTTGAACTGTAAAGAAATAAAAATATCTGGTTCAAAGTGTAAGCATTCCTACTTCATCAGGAGTAACTGGAATATCACAAAATAGCCAGGCCCTAAAAATCACAGATATAAAACAGATGTAAGTGACACAGATACGCATCTCTCTGCTGTCGCTTTGGTCGCAGGGGGTGGTGGCTTCTGGAAGGGGCACATATTCCCACTAGGAAGGAAACAAACAACATGACAGGTGCAAGCGGCTAATGAATTATGGGGTTTGCAAAAGAGCAGAACAATTTACTCCCTCCCAAGCTTAGGAGAGTTTATATGTGACGAACACGCACTCACACGCACACGAAACATCTCATGGGAAAGACAGCCAAGCTCTGCCACTCTTTTAATGAAATGCCATAACTATCTCTATAAATAAAACAAATAGACTGCACTCCAATTTTCACATAATCGTGTGTTGATGATTTTGAGAACATGATTACTTTCATTCTGTTTTGATCTCATTAAAAATCGGTTTTATGGAAAGTTTTGCTCTCACGTAGCTTGTGCTTTCATTTTACTTTTCGTTTTTCTCCAGGAAAGTGACTATGGGAACGTGGGCCAGGTGTGCATGGAGAACGCTCTGCAGTGAGTGAATTGGAGGGCACAGAATGCGACCGAAGTCCCCAGTGATACCTAGCGTGTTCCTTCGCAGGGAACATTCGCTCAGTCATCCGCAGACCTGCCTTTTTGCTGGGAAATGTGACTTCAAGGGCCAGCGCGGAGGAATGTCCACTCTGCCCGGCACACCTCGTGGGAGCAGGGCTCTGCAGGCCACATGGTGGCTATTTCTAGCTGCCTCTAATGAGGCTCCGAGTGGCATAACATGACCCTGAGAGCTGGGAAGGGCAGGGCCCCTGAACAACCAGTGCCTGCAACTCCCCAGGCCCGAGCTGAGCAAGCTCCAAGCAGAGGGCTTGGAGACCAACAGTGACTGCCCGGTGTTTCTGACCCCAAGTCAGGGAAGTGTGGGAGCTAACCCGCATGATTGTATCATACAATCGGACCAGAATTTCCAGATACAAGGTGCACTGGACATCAGCCAGAAACAGAGACGCCCTGGCAAACACCTAGCGGTGCTCTCTTCCAGGAAACAAAGCCCACATGCATGGAATTTGCCAGTGTTCACAGTGTAGACGCTCTCGCCGCAGCCAATCGCAAGCCACCAAGGGGAGGTCACCAGACGCAGCGAGGGAGGGGGATGAGGACGTGGCTCTCGGGAGCAGGTGCATGCAAAGCCCTGGGCCCAAAGCAAAGGTTCCCAGAGACCCAGGGGTCACTGAAGCTCCTCTAGGGTTCCAGATGGCACAAGCCCACTCCAAACCCCAGGCACAAAACAACTGGACTGAGGAAGCCTTGGCCTCACGCTGGATCTGCTCCCGTTTATCGCGAATGAGGACTGGCTCAGAACAGACCTGGGAGACGTTGTGCTGTCTCTCAAGCTCAGCGAGCAAACTATTAGCTAGTTCAGAAACAAAGTCTCTTTCTGCCACAACCCACAAACCCTCCCTGGGCCACTGCCCCAAGGACTTCCCCGGGCGCGCTCCTTAGCCGCGGAGTGCCACTGGGTGGTATTTCAGCGCCCTGGGGAGGATTGCGCTCAGGCTGCCCCTGGGGCAGCTTAGTCCATGAGGCTACCTCTCCATTCCCAGCTGTGCTCACTGAACCAGAACCTTCCCATTAGGAAAGAGAAGGGTCCGAGCCAGGAGGGGAGGCCAAGGCAGGTGGCCGCAGAGCCCAGGAGAGGCCCCTGCCCCGGAGGCACCCAGAGCAGCACAGTGCAGGGCTGGGGGACACTTTTCCTTCAAGGGCCATTTGGATATTTATGACACCATACACAATTATCAGCTTAAAAAAGAATATTTGAGAGTCATAGAAAGGAGCCAACAGAGAGAAAGAGAGCAAGCTTCCATCTGCTGGCTCATTCCCTAGATGTCCACACAGCCTGCTCTGTGCCAGGCCTGAGCAAGGAGCCCAGAGCTTCAATCAGGTCTCCCACATCAGTGGCAGGGGCCTAGGCACTTGGGCCATCTTCCACACTTTCCCAGGCCTTTGACAGGGAGCTGGATCAGAACTGGGGTCCATCCGGGATGCCAGTGTCACAGGCAGCAGTTCTACCTGCTGAGCCACAATGTCAGCCTCAAAATTATCAACCTGAAAAGTAGATTGCTGTAGATCTATTGACTTAGCAGGGCCAGACCAAGGGATTGCGCAGGACCTACACAGCTCGTGGGGGACTGTCCCCCCCGGAACACTGTCTCCCCTGCTTCCGCGGCCTCTGTCTCTGTCTCTTGTTGCCATGTAAAACCAAAATGTCTTCTCAGGCCTGAAAGTCATAAGGCTTTTTGTGTCCCTGTGAACTTCAAAGCATTTAAATTTCCTATGGATCTTATGTGATTGAATGTGTGGCTTACAGAAGCCTGAACATGAGCGTGAAGAAAGATGTCTTGTTGAGGAAGACATATATAATCACTCTGAAGTACAAAATCAGACAGTTGGCTTCGATCCATACAGTCTTGATAGTAAACTCCTTGTTTTAATTTTTTTTAAGATTTATTTTATTTATTTGAAAGACAGTTACAGAGATAGGTAGAGACAGAGAGAGAGGTCTTCCATCTGCTGGTTCACTCCCCAGATGGCCACAACACCTGGAGCTAAGCAGATCCAAAGTCAGGAGCCAGGAGCTTCTTCCAGGTCTCCCACATGGGTGCAGGGACCCAAGGACTTGGGCCATCTTCTATTGCTTCCCCAGGCAATAGCAGAGAGCTGGATTGCAAATGGAGCAGCTGGGTCTCAAACTGGTACCCATATGGGATGCCGGAGCTTCAGGCCAGGGCTTTAACCCGCTGTGCCACAGCGCCAGCCCCCTTGTTTGAATTTTTATTCAAGAGTCACCAATGACAAGAAAATTTCCAAAACACCTTCTCCAAATGATAAGCATCTTAAAAGATGAAACCTGAAGAAAAATTAAAATTCTCAGTTTATCTTTTACTATTCATGTTGTTTCTGGGTTTACCTCATTATTGCAAATGGAGGGGTGAATGGAACTAATTCAGTTAATTTTATCTTTGTGCCTCTGAGGCTGTCCTGTACTCTTGAACACATTTTGTGCCTGGAAAAATAAAGCTCCAGGGTTGCAAATACTCTAAGCATGTCAAAATGTCAATTGTATTGTGCAGATATAAACCCATTTTGTAAATTTTAACAATGGCATTTAAAATAAAATATAAATGTGATAAGAACTAAAAAGAGTTTGCATAATCAACGTGCTATACTCAGTGACTCCAAGAAAATGAGAAATCCATCATAAAAAAAGGCAGAATGAACTCCATAAAAAACACAAAGCAAAGAATGTACCACTGAAGCACTAAGGAATTAGTGAAAATAATTATATATCAAGAATATTGTCAAAGAAAACAAAAGAAACAATTCAAGAACTAAAAAACCTAGACAAGCATTTAAAGTGGAAAGAGGAACATTCAAATTAGATAATTAGATGAGTGTATTTGGGAAACACCATTGTTTCTTCCTTAATGTAACTAAAATCTGAAATATTAGTAAAAAACACAAATAACATTTCAGGCAACCAACTGCCACAAATGGAACATGGTGCAGGGCAACCAAACTACCAGTTTGGCTGTAGGGTTTCCCAATAACCTGCAAAACTCCCAAGGAAAGTCAATGAAAAGCAGACACCAGGCAATCTGCTGTTGCCATGTTGCTTCACTTGAGGATGATCTCAAAGGGATGGCCCTCTCTGGGGACAAGGAATATTCCAGATTAGCTCATGCCAGAAACGCACTCCTGATCCTTTTCTCCTCTCAACACAAGGAGCTTTCTCCCACACGCCTTTCTTCTGTCTTTTTCAAGTGCATAAAGCAAATAGCACATCTTTAACAACTCATGAGATGAACAAGTCTCAGCGAAAGCAGTGTCACTGCCCGTGCGTTGTGAAAAGAGGCAGGAAGCAGGGTGTCCCTGCTGCCTTTTCTGTGACGCCTTCCCGAGTGCTGGAGCGTGCGATGGAGATGCTATTGGTTAGACACAGTTCCAAGAGGGAAAAACGTGTCCTCAACTAATGGCTGATGATGTCCTGTTGTGGTTGTGCAACTCTGTAGGTCAACCACACTTCTAGAATGCTTGAATGAATGAGAAACAGAATTAAAAAGTAACTGGTTACTTGTACTCAGTTGGGGAGGGGGGGTTGTGGGTGTGAGTGGCTATGTGGGGATGGGTATGAGTGTGTGGGGGTGTGGATGTGGGGTGGGGAGGTGTAGGTGTGTGGGGGTGTGTGTGCAGAATGAGGTGGGGACTGAGGGACAGGCTGGGCAGTCAGTTGGAGAGACCACTGTACACCATGGAGAGAGTGCGCATGCACTCACATAATCA